GCGCGGCGGCGTACGTCGAGCGAGACCACTTGGCGCAGCACCTGCGCGTCCACGGCGCCGCGGCGGCAGCGACGGACAAGGAGTATACGTGCGCGCTGAGCTACGCGGCGCTGCGGTACTAGGCTCAGCACGCACACGCGGCGATGGAGAAGGCGACGGCGCACAGCTGCCAACTGTGCGCGGCGGCGTTCGGCGAGCAGGAGCACCTGAACCAGCGTCTGCGCTCGCACGGCGGCGTTCGGCGAGCAGGAGCACCTGAACCAGCACCTGCGCTCGCAGACGGCGATGGCGAACACATACATGTGCCAGGTAGCCGCTGCGCTGCTGCTGCTGTGTGTGTGCGTGCGTGTACGTGTAGTTTCTGTCCAATCACTAATGAGTACTTTCGTAATGACTCCAGTCCGGGTACATAGTGTGTAAAGTCAATCTAGAGTATCTGGAAGCATTTCACTTATTTTCTCTCTCTCTCCGCTCTGTCGTGCGGCTCTAACGGGGTTTCATGTTCCCGTTAACCTTGCCACCACAGAGTGTCAGTTATCCGTGTACAGTACAGCATCAATCGATCAAATACCACGTCCACCGATAGTAGTACCAAGAGCTAATAATACCTATGTATACCTAATGTATTATTCGCTTATCTTGCTGCCTTGCCCAACCAGAGGAAGACGGCCACTACTGAACTACATTGACTGCATTGCAAGGAGTATCCAGCATGACATAGGGGACATGCAGACACTGATGATGGACACATATTCATGGCATGGCATTGTGAACTCTATTCCGGATGCGTCCGCTGAGTAGTAGTAGTAGTAGTATGTATACCTATAGTATACCTATAGTGTATTATTAGCCCTTGATAGTATTGATGAGCTACGTGTTGCAGTATATATGTGGGTATTTCTACATGGATCGTAATCAGAGGTCGTAGCATCAAATGTGCCGGCCTATCCATCTATCGTCATTGCTCTATTGACTGGTTCATTTTTGTGCCCGTGCCCAGAGAGAATATACAGCAATAGATAAATAGACGGAATATAAATATATGTCTTTCTTTCTCTATCTCTCTCTCTCTCCCGGTCGTGCTGTCCGTACGTGTGTGCGTGCTGTCTGTCTGTGCGTGTATGTGTGCGTACGTGCTGTCTGTCCGTGTGTGTATGTGTATGTGTGCGTGCGTGCGTGCGTGCGGTCGTACTGTGTGCGTGCTGTCCTGTCGTGGTGTCATGTGTGCGTACGTTGGTACGTGTGGGCGTGCGTGTATGTGTGCGTGCGTTCGTACGTGTGTGCGTGCTGTTTGTCCGTGTGTGTATGTGTGTGTGCGCGCTGTGCATCATGGTGCGGTGCGTTGTGCTGTCTGTCCGTGAGTGTATTTGTGCCGTGCGGGCGCGCATCGGCCCTGTGTGCATGCGTTCGTAGAGTGTGGCCGTGCGTGTTTGTGATGTGTGCCGTGCGGTTCGTATACGTGGCGTCCTGTCCTGTCCGTGTGCTGAAGTGTTTGCTTGCGTACCGTGCGTAAATGCTACGCGTTCACAAACCCGCCGTATGACAAATAACATTTAACAAAGTCAATATAAAGAAAGTCATCAAATCGGAGTCACTTTCACTAAATATAGGGCGATTTGAACACAGAGAAACAATGCTGAAACCACTGGACACCATCCATCACGCCGATCTGCGCGCATGTGGTATATATGTCTACAGACCCACGACAGACAAAGACAGGGGCATGGTGAAACCATAGAACATGATACGCCAACTCTGTTACTACGGGTTCGTAGGGTCGCCACTCTCCCCCTGACCCGGCTCTGTTTTGGCGGTGGAGCTCGTATTAGGGCCGCTAATTTCTGACTAACCCTAACCCTAAACCCTAACCTAATATCTATATTAGATATATTATATATATATACGATATACATATATATATATAATATTAGTCACGAAATACGCTAAACGAGCTTCAGGTAAACAGATGCAGCGGGGACATAGACCTTACTTGCGTGTAAGCTAGGTGTTTGAGACCCAGCGTGAGAAGTTATTGCCCGCAAATGATTGTATTGTATTGAATGTTTTGTGGGGGCGGGCGTTATAGCAGCCGGAAGATTAAACAACTGTAGGAAATATATAAGAACATAAACGTAATACGCTCTTGCAGTAGAATCAATATTAGATGAATAGTATGTAAGATACATACCTGCCGGTAGGCGTCGCTGTTGTCGTCTAGGTATCACCGCAATACGAATTTGCAGGCGCACAGTAACACACTCGCGCGCTCTCTCTCCCTCTCCCTCTCCCTCTCTATCTCTCTCTCACCTATCTATCTATCTATCTCTCACTTTCTCTCTCTCCCTCTCCCTCTCTATCTCTCTATCTCTCTCTCACCTATCTATATATAATCTATCTCTCACTTTCTCTCTGTCTCTCTCTCTCTCTCTCTCTCTCTCTCTCTCTCTC